GCTTATGCAATTACCTTGTATTCGCCTAAGCGTAATGTAGCCGGAATATCGTACAGTCCCCTTACTACCCTGACTTTAATAACGAGGTACAGCTATAAACCAGTGAAGCTAGACTAGTCTAGCTGGATTCATGAAAGCCAACAGTGTTTCAGTGATTGCACTGCATAGCTTTGCCCACACTGTCACAGGAAATACACAAAAGCCCATAGAGCGATGCGGGACAACTGGGTCGCCAGCTTTGCTCGAGGTGAACAATGCCAATGATCAAGAGGAGGGCTTGCACAGTCCCGTTGCATTCACACAAGCCCAATGTGGTCTGAACATCGTCCAACCGTTTTATTCCCCTTTCTTTCATAACGACTTGCAGCAGTAGGCCAATTAAGCTATGCTGTGTTTGGTGGAGTCATGATAGCCTGCATTGATCCGATAATCGAGCAGCTGAATAGGTTGGCACCACAAAATACACGAAGGCCCATAGAGTGACTGCGGACAATTGGATCGCTGGCTATCTGCTTCATCAGTTACGGTCCAAGTGATCGAATTCGCCAAGGTTTAATTCAGTGTGAATCTCTGCCCACATTGAGATGGCGCATCATAATCCGTTCTCAAAACGAGTGCTTCACAACGACACTTTAATGCTAGGTAACGTTTGTTTAGTTCATGATGGACTACGCGATTGGGGCGAGCCATCAGAAACCATGGAACTCAAAAGAAGCTACAGAACTTGTAAAAGAAAACACAACACATTAAATTCCATGGTTTCGTCAGAGGGCGAGATACTACCCGGTTGCCCAAGCTGAAGTAGGGTGTTGACTTAGGGGACACCACCCCGAGCCTTTGACTGAATAGCCTGCCCGCAAGACAGCGGAACGCGTTCAGGGAATCGCGCCCATTGCGAACCGGTGACTGATTGGGGAGTCTGACTTTCCAATAGTCACACAGCTACACAGGCCCATGTGTAAAATCAAAGGCACCTAAACTACGAGAAGACAGATGGGGAGATAGCGAGATACTCAGTCACCGCCTTTGATAGAGGTTCACAATCAAGAGAAGAGTTTGCAGTGACACCTGCTGATTAACAGTTCGCTTGCATTACCATGAGTACAATGTAGTCTGAACATCGTCTAGTCGCCTTACTCCTCATTTCTTTCAAGCGAATCGCTGATTTTCTGCCTAAACTTCTGTATCCAAAATGGTTTGCAAAAAGTTCATTTTGTTTTGCAAAACGTCCAATTCGAAGTAAAGTGAGTTATATAGATTGGCGGCATCCGAATTTGACTGTCACTGTGGCATCCATGGGGACATCCACAGGACGCATGCGCCTACAGAAGATCCATAGGTGGCTTGCTCTGTACCACTCACAGCTCCAATCACACACCCCATATCCAATGTAAACCCGAAATAAGACCGGGAGGCACGTGGATAGGAGCCATATTTCATCGACAGAGCTGGCTCATACTCCTTCGACATGCACAGCAGCAGGATTCTTGTCTATCTAATTTGGGAATCATGCGTAGCAGACGTAGTCCGCTTCACACTAGATGGAATCGCTTTTTGAGTCTAGTACGGTCACAAAGTGTGTGAACCTCGTCCCTCCCCCCAGAAACGTTTCACAGTTTCCTGGAGCCCAGTAATTGAGGTGGAGGGTGTTAGACAGGTGGGCACCTTATTAACATTTACATCAGGCGCAGCCACACCGGGGGTATCAATTATCAACCAACATCAGAAATGCAAGAAACCCAACACATGTGCTGATTAATTGCAGCGCTGCTGAGAACGAGTGACAGAATTGCTGTGGAACACCTGCAGAAGTCATTTACTGAACATCTTATTGGTAAACACTGCTGTGAGTTATCGAGAATGTTGCAACGAACTTCATCTCGAACCACTTTGGATTCGACGATTGAAGAACAACTTGTTGCTGCTTTTCAACATGCTACACAAAAAGACATATTCCAACCTGCCTGCACTCAATTTGCAACATTGTTCAACTCGAGCGCTTCGCAGCAAAGATTTTACATTGAATATAGCGATGGCTAGAACGAACGTCCGTTCTACTTTTTTCCTGGTCAGATATAGGTATCTGTGGAATAAACCACCAATAACACACAGGTCATGTGACAAGGTGGCAACATTTAGAAACAGACTCGCCAATTACCTTGATCTAACTACCCTAAGCTCTATATTCACATGGGAAAAATCCCTCGATGAGCTATTTCAATAGGGGCCCGAAAACATTTGAACACCAAAGTTTTCGTAACTAAGTTTTGGCCTCAACCATCCGCCAGAATGTTAATACATGAAACACATATCCCAATACTCCATCTATGCATGTCTCCCATGCAAGAGCATGGATTCTCCTGTGGATTTTCCTGTGCCGCTATAGACAGTTTCTTTCATCAAAACGAATCTACGTATTATTATTACATATTATTATTATGTAGTAAACGTAGTACATCGACCACATGCCTAGCCTGAGTTAGTAAATTGAATCGGAAACACCGTACTTACCATGCGCGGCGCTGATGATGATTACACACTCGGCTTACTCGTCTTCTTAGATTGCTCCGCGTGAGCAGGCTGATAGCTTAGGAGCTTGTTTTGGCTGAGACACCCACGACCACATATGCTGCAACACCTTACTGTCGATGTCGATGGGCTCTCCTCTATGTGCACCTGTCGCTTCTCTACTCGCCGTTTTTTCTGCATGCAGCAATGATTCCTCATACGCTTGGGCCACCGCCCTCCTGACCACGCCGTGGGTACGTCCAAGTAGCTAATTCCCTCTCACTTAGTTTAAACCTGGTGGTCTTGGTCGTCAAGCCGTGAATAACGTCCTTTCCAACGCCATACTGACCGATAACATCTGTCCGCACTGCTACTTCACGCCTAACATGCACGTTGAGATCACTCAGTAGGCACAGCCGGTCGCTCCTCGGCACAGGCCGTATCGCTAAAGATAACTGAGTGCAACACTGATCCCTAATGTCATCGGGATAACACGTGGTGGGACCAGGCGTGCTAAAACAATTGGCAAACTTACCTCTTCCAAGCCGCAGGCGAAGAGTCATCAGTCGAGGGCTGATGCTAGTCGGGTCTGCCGCCAGCTGGCCATTTAGGAGGTCAAATAGTGCAAATCCCACCCCATATTTACATGCAGGCAGCACCTACTTCATGCTTCCTGTATTGGTTAGCAAACCGGGTCTCACTGAGGACGGCAATGTCGATCCCTTCGCGCACGCGTTCCATCGCGACCAGTGAATACTTCACTCGGGTCGCCCACTCATGTTCTGGTTGAGCAGTGTGCGCGCGTTTCAGCACCCTATGTTAAGCGCTTTGCGCGAAGGTATACAATTAGTGATTTAGATTGAAGGAATAAGGGGCTTTTGGTGAAATGGGGATGAGTAATGGATGTACAGGGAAGGCGTCAGTAGCGGTAGTATGTTTTAGCTTATCCACCTCGCTGTATGCAGCAGATAAGGCGACTCTTTTCGCTCCCCCACTACTGCGCGACGGCCGATGCATCATGACATAATCGATATTGTTGTGTTTCATGTTTTGTTTTTTACTGTTAGGGCCTCACTATCTGAATAAGAGAACGACTCGAGTCCTCAATCAAAGCTCTCGGTCAAATGTACTCCCGAAGAGCAGTAGGCTGTGCGCCATGAGTCAGTGAACCTACTCATGCATATTGTGTGTGTCCTGGATCTTGGCACAACGGTGTAACCCAACTCCTACCTATTCCCGAGGAAGCGTCCAGGTTTTCCAATCTGTGAGAAACAATTCATGTCCAGATATAAAAACCACATAATTCAAAACGTTGACCCTGATCTTTGTTTATGGTTATAGCAAATGTCAATCGAATTGTGAATTACAATCTTCTTAACTGAAATGTACGTGCAGTGGCATCCCTGGCAAATTCTGTTAGATAATGAACCGCTCCATCTGCTTCCACAACTGCGTCGATGGACTTGTATATGACCGCCTCACTTTAAATGTAAGACTGAATAATGGTGCTAAGTTCATCGACGTCTTTGTTTTTGACCGCAAAAATAGCTCATTCATTCAGCCAATCGTGACTCTTATTATTCGGATAGTGGGAAGTACTTTACGAACCTGTTCTTCCTTTGATGTAACTAAACTGCTGAAGTTATGAGGCATTGACATTCTCCCTGAACTAAGATCAACGACACCTTTCTGTTCCCAATGTCCAATAATTGAAGTGTGAATAGCTCTGCTGATCGATCGTTTTGCAGCTGGACGCGCATATTTTTAGTTAATTTTGACGTTTTTACGTGTCGCCACAAAGTAGTTTCTCATCCAAGCACTTCTTCCGTCCGCTGGTGTCGATCTAAGAATTACAGCTAATGTATGCCTGCAATCTCCTGCAAGCAGTAATAAGCACGTTTTTAAATGGTCTACTGTTTCCAGGCAAATTTGGAAATGATCGATCAAGTGCTTCGAGTGATTTTTTGTGCGTCATCGTGCCTACATCCCAAACGATAAGTTTGCATTTCTGCAATACTTTCCCCATGCCGGAACCTGTTCAAATGTTACATGTGGGTTCCAATGCATTTCACGTTCATTGTCAATCTTAAAGCGGAATGGGCTGTTCTTCCACCTAATAACAATGTCGCAGCTATTCCAGACGACGTGAAAGCTAAAGCTATGTCATTTTGGGATCATATTGTTGCAATCATCAAGCTAAGTAGGAACGTTTTACCAGTTCCTGCTGGCGCATCTAAAAAGATTTCTCCAACAGGGTTATTAACAGTTTGGATTATTTGACAGTGCCAAATTCCACCGTTTGAAGAATAGGACATCAGCAGAATGCCGCCGGTACGTCGTACCGGCACTTCGATGCCACGCGCTCGTCAATTGCGAGGGGGCTAGGGATACTACTAGGTCGGCTGTACCCACGCGGGCTCAAACCGACAACCGTTGGATTTCAAGGAAGACGCATTATTTTTTCGGCCATCGGTCGGCCGGATTGCAAAACAATGACAACAACAAATGATAACCATGAAGTGAGCTCTATGGTAACGTCAGGTAAATTCCAACGGAATGTTACGAAATAGCTTGGATTCAGTTGTGGTTCAGATATGCAGCCTACAAATTCATCTACTCATAAGTAGTGCAAAATGAAAATGAATCGAAGCTTTCGTAATTTAATTAACAATAAAACAATACCTTAAAGTTGACATCCACACAATTATGTATATACATATTACCCTTATCGTATTCGGATGTAACGTTGTCAACATTTCAAAGCAATCGGTGAAGAAATTTCAAAATACTCGGTTATGAAAGAACACATTTCCACTTTTATTTATATAAATCTATTTACATAATCTATGTACATACGTACTCGTGATTATAGTATCCTTTGTGCGGGTCGCTAAGTGACTTCTAGTTCGATATGCATGGCGTATAAATAGTTGATGATGCAGTTGCGACTTCTGTGTGCAACTTTATGGCACACAACTGCTATCATGACGTGATCCAACCGGAACGCAATCCATTTAACTACAGGTTCGTACTTTCGAAGTCGCTGTTACCCGACTGTACCGATACGCTTGTTAGAATGAGTTACTCCTGCCCTTTTTTAAATTTGTATCTGCTCTGCTTTTTTCTCAGGCTACTTTCCTTCACGAAGGTGGACGCATTGGCTTCTTGACCGCAGATGTTAGCGGCTTGTTGCAGGACCTACGCGAGTACAAACCCGTTTGCCTCATCACTGTTCCACGAATTCTGATTCGTATTTACAACCAAGTGCTGCTGCGTATATCGTACTCAAAATTCTTACTGGCCTTATTCCGATGGGCTATCAGACAAAAGTTGGCCGAACAACGTCGGTGAGTTGCGTTGTGCTAGTATATTTCTGTGCTCAACCTACCTGCAAGCTTGTGTCCGACTATCTCTTGTGACTTATTAGTCGTTTTTATTTCTTCTTATTTAGCCTTATTGTGACAATCCTCAGTGTTCCGACCGACGCTTAAAAGCGATCGCGGCGACCTGTCTTCAGGTTTTTCTTTAACGTACACCTTGCTTCGCTACGTACAACCACAACGGTTCTTTGGCCCCTTCCTGTCGTCCTGTCACCATCTGTTGCTCGAACTGTAGTTACTTTGTTGAACTGTCATGTCAACGCTTAAGGGTCACACTTGCGCGAAGCGCAAAGACAGTCCTTTGAAACGGTTACTCCAACGTGCGTCTGATTCTTCCGGTATACAGTCGGACTGTACGTTGATGGTTTGGGTTTTTCATATTACTTCGTTATCTTAACTCTGCTCGATATCGGAATCCTCCTAATTTAGCACGAAACGCAGCGTAAACATGACGCGTCTACTATCATGCCATTTTAGCAGACGCGCGTGCCTGGGTTCGGCTGATGATACTACTTTGCTGCACCTACCGGGAACATCCCCCACAAACCGTTGTGGTTAGTTACTACCACATGTCAAACGGCTCTTATTATCCCTCCTGTGATTTTAACTGCACTTCAGGAGACGATTAGTCAATCTGCGTTCATTAGCTTGAAGTCGTTGATTGATTATTGTTGTGGTTTGTAGCGATTAATAATCTCTATTCCAGTCTTCGATCATGATACCCAAATCGGACCCCAATCTATATTTTCCCAGTTTCTTCCTTTTAATGTTAATCATCCTTTCCGTCGTGCTTAATGACCTAATGTTACCCTCCATATGAATGTTGCATTCCATTGCTTTTCGCCGATGGATACTTTTGGGCAACGCGTCGAGTCGTCGTCATACCCCTCATCACTTTGGTTATCCTCGCTGAACCGCCTCTACTCTCACCTGAAGAGGCATTCGAGATCTTCGTTTACCTAGGACGTAACGTCTTAGTTAATACAAATCTCTCTCTAAAGAAACTAGTACCACTGCGCTAACTGAAATCGTTGAGGCACATCCTACTCATGCCGTCCGAGAGACTACCACCTCCCACTATATTCACTTGCACAGGACCGCATTGGAAAACTCGTGCTGTGGTCAGCCTATCATACTTCTAAAAAGCTTCAAATCATTGACTTCCAGTCTAGCTGTTATCTGTCCCGTACGTTTTCTAGGCTGGGGAGCAAAGGATGAAAATACCATTGGTTGGAAACCTTTGAGGACAAAGTGCTGGAGATTTACTTCTATTTATGCATTTATTCAGCGTTACATTCATTAAACAAACAAAAAAGACAAAACGGCTCGGGAAAATCAAAGCTTTTTATCTCTTTTCTGTTTTTTGTACGGACTACGCACATTTATTCCTTGGTTCTCATTAGATATATGGTTGGCGGCATCGGGTTTCGGTTTTGCCTGTCACTGTGGCCAGCCACAGGACGCGTGCGTCTACAGAGGGACCATGGGTGGTTTGCGCTGCACCACCCACAGCTCTAACCATACACCCCATATCCAGCGTAAAGCCGATGGAATAAGACCGAAAGGCATGTGGATGGGAGCCACGTTTCATCAACGGAGCCGGCCCACGCTCCTTCAAGGACAAACACAAGCACACTGTATTTGGGAATCAAGAGCACACAAGGTGGTGACTGGACTGTAGTCCGCTCCCCACTGACTGCATGGAACCACTCTTCGAGCCTAACACGACCACAAGGACCGTGCACCCCGTCCCATCCGCAACGAACAACTGTCACCTGGAGCCGGTATGGACGAGGTAGTGGATAATAGACAAGTAGGCACCTTGTCAACATGCACATCAAGCGCAGTCACACCTGGGATGTCAAAAAGCAGCCAATCACTTGAAATGAAAATAACAAATAATATATACATCGAATAAAGCATACGAAAACGCTGACATAAATCTACGCTAAATGAGCGCATATAATAAATCGGTTAGCAACAAATCCGCGATAAGTGCAAAATGTCAGAACATATATTTTTCTAAATGTCACAAACGCGAAAAGTTTAGCGATCTTAACCACCACTAGCTATAGAAAGGTATGCAAGTTCAAGTGAACGTTAAGCTGAGACAAAAGAATGCGTCGAGACACAGTAGCAAACCCACCAACTGAAATAAACAGCACGCTGGCACTCGGTTAGCATATCGAATGCAGCGTGCCTACCAATGTTGCGCCGGTTCTGCCTACTTTCTCAGCAGCGCCCGTTGTCTTTTCGATGCTGGTCCCGAGTGTCCTCGCTAGTGGTTCACTAGACCTGCCTGACACGCACCCGCGACCGCATGTGCTACAACACGACGCGCTCGACATAGATAGAGTACACCCTATCCGCAACTGTCGCTTCCGCACTTTCCGCTTCTTCTCTGCATGCACGAAGGTTTTCTCTTGCACCTCAGCAACGGCCTTCGTGATCAGCTCGCGCCATGTGCGCTGATCAACTGCCTTCGATTCCAAACATCTGTACTCAGCATTTGAATGGGATATTCTCACTTTGATCATGTCCTGGTAACGTAACTTCAGTTTCACCACGTGCCAGTTCCCTGCACTCAATTGGCCACACAGCAGCTGTTTCGGTATTTGCGTCGAATCCATACACTACACATGACCTGGCCACCTCGAATGTCTCAGCAATACTATGAAGTCCACTTCCGCGCAACACTTCCGTGCCTGCAACTCTGTCGCACCAACCGATGCGCAGAATCCATCGCAGGCATTGTTGATGAAACCGCGCGGGATATCGCACATCCCGCCGGTACATCGTCCACGTTTCGCTACCGTGTAAAAGAACGCACAGCACCATGAATTGGTACAGCATCAGCTTCGTGCCGACGGTAAGCTAATGGTTGTTCCACACTCGGTACTCAAACTTCCCGATCGCCGCCGCTGCCCTCGATACGCGGATACGCAGCTCAATGTGTAGTTACTGGTCAGCCGTAACCACACACCCAAGGTAGCAGAAGCGGGAGGTGGTTTCCAATACTTCGTCATCAATGCTGATTTGCGACAACATTGCAGATTGCACCTCCGGTGAAGGCTGAAAGAGACAGACAGTTTTGCTTGTGTGAGCCCGAATTCCGCCGCTGTGGAACGCAGAACACTAGTCATGTGCTGCAACTCATCCGCACTGTGTGCGAATAACGCACAGTCGTCAGCGAACAGCAACATACGGATAGCTGTCTCACAGACTGGGGTTCTCGCACCGAAACGCCGGATGTTCCGCGACCCACCATCGATACGATGCTCCACACGAACATCGTAAGCACAGGCAGCATCAAGAGCACAAGACATCATTGCGTGAAAATAAAAATTAAACAGAGCAGGAGCTAAGACACAGCCTTGCTTCACACCAGAGACAACTGCAGTCATCCGATATCTGTCCACTCAGCTGCACCCTCGCCCGCATACCACTGTGCAGACATTTAATTAAACTTATTTGGACAACCAAACTTCCCAACACCACCCACAATGTGTCGTGGTTCACCGTATCAACTGATTCGGTGAGATCAACAAACAGCTGGCTGGTGTCGTTCTCTGCACTTCTCCTGCAATTGACGAGTCTCAAACACCATATTTTTGGTGGTGATTTCGTCAGATCTGCGGTCTGTGTGCAGATTGCACCTGAACTACCATTGACTAGCGTCATCAGCAGCTCCAACCTCGGTCCATTCACCGTCTTCAAGGAATCAACGAATTCCTTGTGCTGGCGGCGTTCGGCCTAGTGTTCCATCTGCTTCACCTTCTTCTTCCACCATGCTTTTTTAATGCGACGGTGCTCTCGGATCTGTTGCCGTTGAATTCTGCAAAACTCACTCTTTTTTCCCCAAGTCGCTGCGGTTTGCAACATGTGCAGCAAATGCGGCATTCTTCTGGGACACCAATGAGCACACCGTCGCATTGTTCACATGAAACCAATCAGGCCGCTTACAGTTTGCGCGCCTGATGGTCTTCTAGGAAGCAGCTGTCACCTGGTAGCGAATGTAGTGCCACAGGTGGTCGCCCACTGTGCATATGCATTCTAAGTCACACAGGCGTACAGCCATCGCCTTCTCTAGCTCAATACATTTCTCCGCAGTACCGACGGAGAGAAAGTTAACCTTAAGCCGGTTCACGGCAGGAGTGCAATACATAGATTTACGAAAATATATGTACAGTTTGATCCGCGCAAATTTGTGATCAGTGCCACACTCAGCTTCACGCAGTACACGCGTCATGCGCATGTCCCGCTGACATGCGATGACGTAGTTGAGCAATTGAGCTTGACAACTCCTTGGGTGCGTCCAATTTGCCATGTCACTCGCACTGGCACTCGTGGTCGTCAGGCCGTGAGTGGCATGTAGTGAGAGCAGCCTATCACCGTTTGCATTCCGTGAACCAATGCCGTTCGGACCGATGACAACTGTCCCCACCGATGCTTCACGCCCAACGCGCTAGTTGAAATCACCCAGTAGGAAATAGTCGGTCGCTCCTCGGCACAAACCGTATCACGGAGGATATCTGAGTGTAGAATTGATCACGCGTGTCATCAGGATAACACATGATCGGACCGTACGTGCTTATAAAAGTGGCACACTTATCACTTCTGTGTCGTAGGCGAGCAGTCATTAATCACTCGCTGATGCCAGTTGGTTCACAGAGCAGCTGAGCATTTAGGCGATCGGATAATGCAAATCCGACCCCATGTTCATGTGGTGCTGTGGTGGTGTTGCCCACCCAGTAGCACGTATAGCCAGCTCCAGCTTCATGCAACTTACCTTGCTCAGCGAGCCGAGTGTCACTGAGCGCCACATTATCGATGTTGTAGCGCACCAGTTCCATCGTGACCAGTGCAGTACATCGCTCGGGGCGCTCACTCGAGTTCCGATCCAGTAGTGTGCGCACGTTCCAGCACCCGATGTTGGGTGCTTTGCATTGGTGGGCAATCGCACGCGCGGTGACGGATGTGCTTAGGAGGTTTGCTTGTAGGACTCTGCCCGGAGCCTTTGGCTCAATAACCTGAACCGCAAGGCAGTGGATGTTTTGGATGTTTGCTTGATGGACTCTGCCCTGAGCCATTGGCTCAATAGCCAGCCCATTAGTCAGTGAGTGGTTTAGATGTTTACTTAAGGGATTCCGCCTTGTTCCTTTGACTCAATAGCCTGACCCACAAGTCAGGGGGTAAGAGATCTAGTTTGGGAATATGATTGCAGAGACAGATTAGGATCTACTTTAGGTCCGTCACATGCAGCGTTTTAAGTTCTGTTGCAATTCATATCTGTTTTATGGCCGCAGTAGGATACGCATCTGCGACCAGTGCCAGACGCAGGTGTGTTTTGGCAGGTTTGCACCAATTTGACCAGGGGCTGCCTGACTTGAAGCGTGCAATAGCCAACCATTGAACATCCGAAGGTGCCTTCCCACCGTCGGAGACAATGTGTGGCGCTCGTGCACTACGCCAATCGAACGGTGGGCTTATAACCCTTGGACCTGTTGCTTTCCATGGCTAGGTTTTAGGGGAAGAGGTGCATCGATCATTTCCTAACATCCGGAGAGTACGGGGTTTGGCCTAGTATACCGGCGGGGCGCTCATACCTCACAGAAAAACGATGTGGGTCCTCAGCGATAGCCTTCGCTTAAATGTACACCCGAAAAGCTGTGATTCTATTACCTGCTTAGTTTGCAGACTCATGCGGATTGGTGTTCTGGCTCTTAGCTAGGTGAACGACGAAGCCAACTCCCACCCAGCGGTCGTCACGAGGAGGCGTCCAGGACATGAGCCCATGTCACAACAATAGCTCTAGTTGGTAGACCATTTTTCAGGATTTAGCCACCATAAGCCTGTGCGCACCATGGGCTCTTCTGCCTTTCTCTCTCTCTCGCTATATATCTATACATGCATCAAATGTCCGATTTCCTATTCGAATTCTCCGCACTTTGTACTTCTATCTTCCCTGGTTGTTACTCACGTTTTCCCCCCTATGCTTTGTTAATGGCCTCTGGTCGTCATAGACTAATAGTTACTTCGTCTCTACTATGATTATGGGCCTGAGTAAGACATCTGACTAGCGATTCTTTTTCCTTGACTTTGTACTCGCAGCCTCCACATTTTCCCTCTTACCTTTTGTTATGGTTGGGATGGAATTCCACCCTCTTCTCTAGTTACTTCATGTAGAACTGTCTGTGCCTTGGATACATGGTTATTCTATTCTCCCTCTTTGATAATCTCAATTGCTTCTATTTGACACCGTGTTTCCGCACTAAGAGAGCACACCTTTAGCAAACTCCTATCGAACTCGTCTTATGCATCGTCTCTACCATAATTGTTCTTGTTTCATACCAGGGGTTATTATTTTGGCATGCCGCACTTTAATCAGTAAGTGGATCCTTATATTACTTCAAACTAATCCCACCGGCTGCCATATTCACTGGTATCTTTATTTTCTGAATATTTAGCAGACATCTCGAGTTCAAAATCTACATGAATCCTCATGTGATTTCAGGGTAGATGGCATGAGGTCATAGCATGCTTGGGGTATAGACAGTGAACGAAGGTTGCCATTCCTTTGCTTTCTGTATTGGTGGTTGACGGCTGTACACCAGTAAGTATAGCCTATTTTCGAAAATCCTCTCCGATTATTGACACTTGTCCTACAACGTAATTGATTAAAGCATTTCATGGACTTTATGGGTTAATCCGTAGCGTCATTTGAACGGGTTCACTTTAGCTTACCCTATGCTAGATCACGCTTATCTGGGTGTGCCTCGTTACTTTGAGAATAAATTTATTTATTCATTAACTATCATCCGTCTGATAAAGTGCAGTAGATTCGGTTACCTTGTCCCATGCTAATTCGATGGTGGATTACTGGTCGATCAATTTATTTTTTAGGGGGATTTATCGACAAGCCGGTCTGCTTGACCGGCTGTTCTTTAGGCCCATCCGCGAGCAAACCGGCGGTCAAGTGCAAATCGTTATTTCAGCGAGTGCACCTGCTTCTGAGGAAGTATTGGACTTCATCAGAGCCGCATTCTCCTGTCCAGTGAGTTCCATGGGGTATTTTCTCCCACTTCTTGTGTCATTTGCTGAAATGCTTTAGATTTATATAAAACTATTTATGGAGGTACGTCCATCTGCTACCATTCCATCGTAATTGCAATGGTGTATGAAAATATGAAATCTTCTGCTCTTTATGATGTCGTTTCAAGGTCATGTGGCTGGCGGTATGCGTTTCTGAATTCCCGGGTCACCTCGACTGTACCAACCAAGAGAAGTCAGCGTCCACATTAACGCCATTAGTGGCTTGTGCTGCACCTCCTACAGCTCCATCCACACACCACATTTCCAGTATCATCCCGGGCGAGTATGCTCGGGAGACATATGGATGAGAGCCACGATTGATTCGGAGCCGACTCACACTCCTTCAACATGCCCATTACACATGTTAGCCGGGTGAAATACGAGTATTAGACCTACTCAGTGTGGTCGCTGGGTCGTAACATCTTCCACACTGGAGGAGCCCTCTCTTTGAGCCTAGCACTATCCTAAAGACTGTGCGCCCCGTCTCCTCCAGTAACAACTAGCGGTCTACTGACGCCGGTGGTAGAGGTGGTGTTTCAGTCGACAGGTAGGCATTTTGTCAGCATTCGCACCAGGCGCAGCTAGGCCTGAAATATCAACTGGTAGTTGCTGTACATATACAGTCCGACGCTGTAGTTCACCTGCTGCATGTGTCCCATTATCAGTCTGGAAGCAGTGTATTTCCGCTCCGTACTTTTGCTTCTTGGCATAAGATTTCTGTTGTCATTAATGTTGACTAATTCTCCACTCGCTGCCATGTTGTCCACTGCCACACTGTACTGGATATCTCGTTGGTCGGTGATCCTGCTTGCATCAAGAAGAACTACTAATCTCAACCACAATGTAAATAGGCGAACTGCGGGCTAATAAAGATGTCTGGGTGAGTTGAACGACCCGGCTGACATAGGAAACAGGAGCAGTGGGCAAATGCAGACATCTTCAGTTAATCCACACCGGTTGTCCCAAGAACTCATCCATCAATGAGCTAACCGAAGATACATCACTGGAGCTTTAATACACAATATAATGCGCCATCCTGTTCGTTTGGAGTTGCAGTTTCAGGATGTTGGTGTTTCCCGACTGCCGGGCTGGGGACCGCAGGACAGTGAACACGTTTGGATACACTGGCTGACATATCGAAGAGTCGACCTCAGTGGCGTTTGTGTTGTGCGTCTCTTTCTCCCTCCCACCCCCCCCCTTTAGCTTACCTCTCCAACAACCATCTCACATGTGATATTTAGCATTATGTGGCTTCTTTTTTTTCTTATTTTAGTCTGCATCGATTTATCTCCCATCCCTTTTCTATTGAGACACATTAGTTGAGGAGTGTTTCTCACCTTCGGTTAACGTGTATTGATGATGATGGTGCTACACTTTCAGGGGACATCTAGCTGCCCTCCTACGCCGTTTCATCATCTACCGCGTCCTCATCCACAGCTAAATTGTTCATCTGTCCCATCTCAATCAGAGATTCGAAAGGCAATCACAGTCCCTAACCGCTTCCACGCTATTGTTCCTGAATCTCCGATGGGGACATCGGCAAAGGATTTACCCGCCTGTTCAGACATGTGTGGGGAGGAAATTATCTCACCAAGCTGGTGGGATGACAATGGTGTTACTATTCAGAGAGTGCATTTCCAACCTTTAGGCTAGCCACAGTCAGACCGGTTTGACGTCGAACGTGGTAAAATTACTAACTTCATTCTGGTCAGCCACATCGATCCGAAGCGGAAATCTCGAATGATTGAGTGATTAAATCATATTTTCACTCCACATTCTTCGCCAGAAGAAGCTTCACATGTTCAGCAGGCGTGTTATCATTATGTTCCCTTAATTCGGCAGCGTATGCAACATTTGTTCATTACGTTTCGTTTGACATATTTGCCACTAAGGTGTTCCCATCAACATATGTGACCATTTTTCATGTCCTATCCTAGAAAACCCCGGATCGTTGCATAGTTTACAGCGAACTGTCGGGCTCCCTTTCGACATACAAGCAGTGCTCGTCAGCATTGTACCGTTTCCACACTGTTGTTGAACTTTTTCATAGATTCCCTCATAGAATTCTCTTTTTCGCAATTTCACGATACAATCATTAACTTACCACCCGTAATATCTGAGAGTTGTAACTATTCACCCGGCAACACGCAACGAAATAACTGACGACTCGACTTGATGTAGGTTTGAACCAATTTCTTTCACAAGTATTGATCAGTAATAGCTTCATTATGATAGTATGATGACTATGCATCCTTACAGGATGCTGGTATATTATGATGATGTTTCCTTTGCAAGTTCGGCCAATAATGGGGACATTACTTTTACGATCTCAGTCTGCTTGC